ATAAAGCACACAGAAGCCTTCATTATAAAAGGCTCAGATCAGCTTATGTTTTAAATGTAATCTCTGATAAACAGTTGTCAAAGAATAAATTTAAATCTTACTCATCAGCAAGTGCGTGTGTGTGTGTATGAGCTTTAAGCAACTTCAACTATTTGCATATGAAGGATCACTTCTTCCAAACCAACAAAATATAGGGTTTAAGGACACTTGAATAATACACTCACCTCAAACATGTTTAAAAATCTAGTAAACAATGTAGGTAAAAAACACTCCCAGTTGATAAACTTGTAATTCTTCACTACACGAGCCATAACAGCAGTCCATTGACTGTTCCAGAATTGACAATTTGGAATTGAGTCCCAGAGTTCCATACACTCTCTAATCCAATTACTGCCATGCCAAAGATAGGAAATTAATTTTCTCAAGGTACTGAGGTTAAAACCACATGGTGATAGTGCCCAAATATATGTTCTCTTACTCTGAGAAGAAGTCTTGATTGTCTGAATTTGTAGGAAGGAAGAGTCTCACAAATCCAGCTCCTTCAAAGGTTGCATTGTGCCAAGGATTTTCCAAAAGAGATCTGAGAATATGTTAAAAATCTTTTAGAAATTTAATGGTGCACTTAAAAATGTTAGCTATTATTACCAGAAGATAATTCTGTTTCACAAGTTACTCAAAAACCATGACCGAGAGCTCTTGTAAGAACCATGAATACTAAAGGAGGAGGTCAATAAGGTCCCAATACAAAAGACCATAGTGACTGCTTTGATTTCTTATTTAGTACCCTCTTATTAGCATCAACTGTATAAATGCCCAAATATAATGAATCAGATGGAACAGCAACTTAAATTTTCTCAAGACAGTTTGAGAGTTCGACGTCAATTGAAAAAACAAAAAGATCGCACTAGTTCACAGAGAAACAATATCAGATGGAACAGCAACTAAATTTTTCTCAAGACAGTTTGAGAGTTCGACGTCAATTTAAAAAACAAAAAGATCACACTAGTTCACGGAGAAACAATATGTATCTCAGAGCTGATTGTGAAAATTAAAAACGAACCTCAGAGCACTTACCTAAACTCGAACCAAATCTCTGAGGCAGAACCAGCTGGAAAGAACCGTCGGCATGATCTAACAAGGGAAGTAACAGTCTCAAAATGCCGCTGTCTCAATCTCCATCCTTCTGGACCTGTATTCCTGAAAAACATACATAATCAACGGACAAGCAGCATATAAAGTTCTAAAATAAACCAAACTCAACACATAAGGGACTTTTAAGAGGTCAAGAACGGGTAAACTATTGAGCTGAAATTTAAAGAGAGATGATTTATGGGAAAATGTTTATGAAATCCTTTCCTTTAAGACAAGGATTAAGTTTAAGACTTAACATCATAAAGGTTCAAAATTGAGAACCCTAATGGCATGCCATCAGTGGTAGTTATGATCTTAAATCTTACCATGACACTGTAGCTAGTAAGGGCAAAAGGGGAGTGTGGGGAGGAAAGAGATAACAAAGCTTTCTGTTAGCTTGTCAATGTCATCTACCAATAATATGGATTCAAAAAATACAAAATGAAACATGAGCATTTAAACTATATAAGATTCATAGCAAGTTTATCACCCTTTGTCACATGGCGATCATTGGTAGCAGATGTCTATAACTAACCTTGTGAAATGTGTATGAATAAGAGTATCATGCAAAGGCCGCCACTGAACTTTCAAGGACAATTTCTTTCGATACTTATTAAGCAATCTGACTAAGATATTTCCCCATCTAACCTAATATGTATAAAAGGAACCATCAATTAGAAAAAAAAAATGACAGAAGCACAAATAAAAAGATTATTCTTTCAAGGATTCAATGCACCACCTGGGCATAAAGCTTGTTCTGTGATTTATGGAATAATTCTAAGCCAATCTCAACAACTGAATCTACGTCTTCCAAAGATATATCACTTTTTGCCTTTATGAAACTGCAAAGCAATAAATAATAAGTTAGACTTGACACCCTGTAATCCACCATAATTGGCAAGGTGTCATACAAAACAAATAATCTACTTACATCCACTTTGCTGAAAGCGTTTCTAATAATGAAACCATGAGAGCGACATTAAGAAATAGACAGTTCTTATCACCAAGTACTCACAGCAATTAAACTTAAACAACTGTTTGACAGAGATGGTCAAGGGACATGTATGCATTATAACGAATGTTACAAAATGTAATAGTTACTGTTTGTAAGAAATTTTTATTCTGAGGGGAAGCACTTTGTGAATCATATAAAACAAAAGGAGATTAGTCCAATATAAAGTATAAATGAAAGATTCCACCCTGAAACAGCTATAAAAGTCTCCTTATGATGCAATGCAGGCATTCTTATGGCATTAAGATGTCCTACAAGTGATAATTAAGCAGTTCTAAAAATAACTAGCAGTATGAAGATGCTCAAGCCTTGGTGTCTATACTACTTGAGGTCATCTTATGTAGAGAACACCAAAATGCTACTCATAGAATGACACACATGGTCCACCACCCATCTCTCACCTCTATTTTGCTCAGTGGCACCAAACTTGCTAGCAAACAGTTAAGGACAGACTTCAAGAAAATTGACTTAGTACGTGAAGTAGGGGAGAGCTCAGTCTATGTTATATTTTCAGGTTTTCCATGTGCGGTGCATGCCACCCCCACTGCATTCAACATGGTTCAAACTGCAAAGGGATTATAAGGTTCCTTAATTATGCCACCAAACATTACAATAGAGGTCATGATTTGTTCAGGACGCACAGCCACAGTAACACCTTCTCCCACCAACTCCCAATACCAAAAGTTCCATATTGAAGGTCTCAACTAAAACTAATAAGTCCCAATCATTAATAGCTCCTTCAAGATTGAGTGCCTGCGTACTGCAAGCGTCCTCCTTCACCCTACCTGTTTTAGGTTCCTTCCTCTCCACCTCAATAAAAACTCCATGAGCAGTCAAAACTCATAAGCAATAACTTAATTATCTATACTGGGTAGCTTAAATTTCAAGGAACAAGATGTCCCTTTGAGTCATTCTTGAACCGAAATCCAACCCAATTCAAAATTAAAACTGAAAAAGAAAAGCACCCAACTGACTTTCTACACCAAGAATTTAATGCAAAAGAAAGGAAAGGGAAGGCAGAAGATTGGAGAAGAAATTAGAGCTTACAGGTCGATAACAGAGATCCATTTCAGAGTGGAGTAAACGGACTCTGGGTCATCGGGGCGATAAAGGTTCTTGACAGAAGAAACGACCCGAGAGAAGGATTCCTTCTCCTTCTTGGTCTCTTCTGCAACCGGCGGGGGCAGCCATGCATTGTAGAGATGCATATCTTAAGCCAAGGCCGCAGCTTGCAGCTTCTTTCTTGTCTTTTGATTTTGAATCAACTCTGAATTTTGATCCAAAACAATGAAGAAAAGGAGAAATGGGAGAAAGAAATGAGATAGGATTGGATTCAAAACTTTGGGTGGACTAGTTATAGTTGCTACGATTCAATGGGTTCTTGTTGATTTTTCTTTGTCTTTTTAAACAAGAAAAATAAATAGGAAAAAGATTACCTTTCTTAAGTTGTTTCGTGGGGCAGGGGCTGAGTGCTGAAGATGATGTGCCCTGTTTCTGACTTTCAGCTTTTTTATGTACACAAATGCTTACGAGCCGTCAAATTAAGTTATACAGGAATTCATTAAAGGAATTAATTACTAGCTATATTGCTATTTTCACTAGGATTGAATTCTAACCACTCAACCAAATGCATGGAGACTATACGTATAAGCAATTTGTCCACCACTCAACATGTAATTTTCCTTCCCCTTTTTGTAATTATCATCAAAACATGAAAAATGAAGGGGACATAAGAAAAAACAGAACCGTGGAACACTTGGAACAAAACAGGCGGTTGTTGTGCTAAGCGTGGCATGCATTAGTCCATTGAATAATCTTAAGAACCTTTTTGGTTTCAGGGTTGGTCGGGGCCCATGACTTGACATCATCTCTTTTCACACAGGATAGTTTGGAAAAAGTACCCTCCCGCTTACTCAGCTCTGACGGCGACTCCACTCTCTAGTTTTTGTGTCTTCGAGTTCAAAACTGAAGTGAGGAGGTTCAACTTTTTCACCCAGAAAACAAAAACAAAGCCTCAGCTCCCGCTTCATGCACACACAGACTGTACTTTTCGTTTACCACTAGGAGTCTAGGATAGCTGGATGCAAGTTCAAAGCTGAGGCTGATATTTCCCTGATCTTTCATTACAATGGGCCGTTCTTTAAGGCAATGGGGTACCTAATACTTATTCAAAGGACACAAAATTTAGTTTTCCTTTCTACGCATGACGGGATGTAGGCTTGGTTTTTTTTATTCCTATTGCTTTATTGCTTTTGACTTTGTTTACTACTCTCTCTGCTGCAGTGATTTCATGAAGAATCTAATCCGCAAAGTTGTTGTGCATATCCAGCCTTGGTTGTAAGCCCTGTAATGCCAAGGTACCACACCACAGTCTCGCTAGTAACAGTGTTGGGAATAGGAAGGAATGATTCTGCATATCTGCAATGCTTTGGCTTCCACTTTTTCACAGCAAAAAGAACATGTCATTAGACTGAACCTTTTTCCATATTTCATTTCATGGATTTCCCTTTCCCTTTCCCTTTCCTGGGTTTTTTTTTTTCTTTTTCGTTGGAAGTGGATGGAGGAGCTATGCTGCTCTACGTGATTCCATTTCCATATGCTCAAAGTAGAAAGTACTGTCTCTCTCCGAGCAGAGAATTTTGGGCTTGCAGTCTTTGTAAGTTTGGGCTTACCATTTGTGTAAAGAGATAAAAGGGTTTTGCTTGTCAAGCGGAGCCCAATAAGAGAAGTGACCGTTTCAGTATGAACTGGGGCATAATAACAATATCAAATGGAAAGAAAATCTGACCGTTGGCTATGAAATGTTACCGTTCGCAATCTCAGGCGTTCCTGGCAAACAATTTAAATATCTGAAACTCTCCCTCATTTGGCACAAACAAAGGCAATCCGATCTTCAAACTCTCAAGCTCTCTATTTACTTCTGTTTCAAGATCTCACAGGATCATCAACATTCATTTTCTTGTTTCCGGTCATCCTGCATTTATATATTCTAGTTTATACTAGCAACCAGTAATGGCAGAAATGAAAGACGCCCATGTTGTAGAAATCCCAGTAGATGAAGAGCATCAACAGAAGCTCTCACGTGCTTTGAACACAATCACAGCAATCCAAAACCATCCACTGATGGAGATCTCTCAGAGTCCAGGCCATCTTTTGCTTCTCCAGTTGTGGCAAAGAGAGGAAGATCTTTTTGGCCGCAGGATTGCTCACATAGAATCCAGGCTGGACTCTATCAAGAGAGAGATCTTTCAGCTGTGTTGTTTCTTTTTGATCTTCCATGGGTTTTTTTTCAACATTTTGTTTACATCTTCCGTTAGTGCCCAAGAGCACCACACTTGCAAGAAATGGTGGATACCATCCCTTGTTTCAGTATCAACTTCACTTGTGTTTGTGTTTTTGGCTCAGGTTCAGCTCTGCAGGTACTGGAAAGTTTGGGGGCAGTTGCAGAGAGAGAGAAACGATAACCGGGCACTTACAAGATGCATTCAAGAACTGAGGATGAAAGGGGCAAGCTTTGATTTGTCCAGGGAGCCTCACATTGGCAAAAGGATGAAGAGCTCCAGCGTCGAAATCAAATGGAAGCCTCAAACATGGTGCTTTCAGTACCTGATTACTCTCTGTCTTGTTTGCTTCTCAGGTTTAGTTTTTCCAGCCTGCAAGTTCGTTCTCTGTGGAATTTGAACTAAAGTTGAAGGTAATGTCAGCAGCCATTCGATTCAAATCAAGTAGAAGAGAAAATGACAATAAGTTCTTCTCCGAGATCATTTATAACAGAACCTATCTTTGCAGGCTGTTTAGTTGAAGATTGCAACAGAAAGCAATCATCAATGATATATGATTGATCAACATGAGTAAAGGTAAACTGCACTGCCAATCCTTGGAGAAAATTTCAATATCCAAATAGAGGTTCGGCTCATTTCTGATTCCAATTCATTTCTTCATAAGAGGTCTGCAGATCTCTCCTGTGCTTTCATTGGAGAACTGTGATATGGCTGAATCCCATTTGAGGTCTTCATTGGGGATGAAGCATCTTGGTCCGATTATGATTAGATAACCTTCAGGAGCTATGAACTGTGACTCAGGAACTCCGTGACTAGCAGATAAATCAAGCAAGAGGTTCACTGAATGCTACAATGTTGCAGAGGTGCTTGTGTGACTTTATGAAGCCTGAGAGATACACTGAACTTCGATTCCTTAGTTTCAGATCTCAAATACTTCATCCTAGGCCAGACTCTTACATTTAAACTTTTGTGCCCGAAGCTCTATCCCCTGATGAAAGGAACCATTAGAAGATTTTGCAACATTCTGTACTGCCCATCAGAGATTCTAGTATCATATTTCTTGAGATGGTTTTGAGGTCTCATTAGCAACACTACTTGTGTGCTCAGTTTAAGCTGCTCAAGAAGTTCTATTCAAGTCAAATAAAAAATCAGTCTTCATTCTCCTTTCTATTTTGTTCTTTATTCATTTCTCGCCTGAATTTTCACTTTGATTAATGCATTACAGTACAATAAGAAAAGAAAAATATTGAAATTCAAATCCATTTTTTGGATAAAACAATAATCAAGTGTTACAACCTTCATTCACAAGTACATAACTTTCGAACATTTGCCTTGTGGAGAAAATGGTAAATAACTAAATATTCCAATTAGAACTACTGCTTCATTAACTGCTCTCGAAGCCAAATATCCGAAATACACCTGCAAAAGAAGAAACGAGACAGTAAGGAATCATTTCCATCTATGACAAAACATTATCCATAATAATGGATATCATTGCACCTTCATCAGCTGAATATTTGTTCTTGTCGTCTCCAGCATAAGCAAGTAAATTGTATTTTGGATTCCATTCCACGCTATTCATAGCAGCTCGGCAAGGAATTTGGTGCACAGTTCGTCCAGTGTGAACATTTGACTGTTTCATCAGAAAATAGCACAAACGTGAAGAATTTAGCTAAATGCCTTATAGACCTATCCTACAGATGAAACCTATTTTCAAAAGAAAGAAGAGCCAATGTAAGGAAGTCCAAGACATACTATATCAATAAATAGGTCTTCACTGGCAGAAGCAATATAGTCCCCCGTGTAATTGAAGCTTATAGTCCGGACAGGCCATCTGCAGGAACTCAAGTGGTCATTTCAGGTCCATGGCAAACATGATTAAAGCCCCAACCTCAATACATAAAAGTCCAGATATATCAGCTCAGGGAATTAAAATATAAAGGTGTAAATTTAAGTGAAACTTACTCAAGCTTTGTAAATGTTCGCACGCAAAGCATCTCTGATATATCCCAGAGGCTGACTAAGGAATCAGCACTTCCAACAGCAAAATATCTACCACAAAAGAGTAATGGATATATTGGAAACAAAATACCTTAAATTAAAATATAAAGAACAAAAATATGACCTCATGTGTATGAAAGTAGTGACAAATATATAAATCTCAAAGGGATAGATTCTAGTATATAGATCCAGAGTTGCTCCTACATGATGTTTACATATATATATGAGGGCAGGCACCCAACAATGACATGGTGCAACAAAGCTTAAAACTGAGACAGATTTAAACCAAACCTTCCTGTTGGATCAATTGCAATGCAGTAGCAACCAGCTGTGTGCGCCATCAGGGTGTCAACTGGTCTAAGTGATGGGTATGCCAGTACTTCAACAGTACCTGAGAACAACCAACACATACTACAAAATCAAGAACAAAAACACCATACAATTTGTGGAGTAATAATAAACAATTTAGGATCAAAGAAGAAGCATAATTGCTAACTTAGATATCGTTCTAACCGTTTCCAGTCGTCAAAAAGAACATATCTCCTGTCATGTTCCAAGCAATTTCATTTACCTGGAAAACGAAGTGTATGGCTCAATCACTCGATTTGCATATCAGAAAATTTATTCATCTGTTTAATTATACAGCTTAGATATCAATTTTCAACCGTCATACGATAAGCCATTAGGTCCAACAATATAACAATACCTCATAACTGAACTTGCGCCTGTGATATGGCTTAAATTTTCGAACATCCAATATTGTTAATTCATCATCCTACAGTAAAATAAAACAGAGTAAGATCAATGACTGATGAAATAATGCAACTGAAACTGCTCTACTGCTACACAGAATGAAGTAGATGTAACAAGTTCCAAGTTGCAGATGAGCTGAAGTGCTCCAAGTGACATAAGACAATAGGACATACCCTATTACCAACAGCAATATGCGTCCCATCAGGTTTATAAGTGATGTTTATATTCTCCCCGCTAAGTTCTGCTTGCTGTGAGCACTTTCCACCTGCAAAAGCCGAAGCAACCAAAAGTCAACACCCATCTAATGGTTAAGCAACCAGGTGTCATCATAACTGTTAATTTAGTCAGTCTCCAACAGGCAGCTTTCATTCAGATTCAATGAAGTGTCCATAATATTTAACATAAGAATTAAGACTGAGCTGTACAAACTTTAGTTGTCTTTCCCTTCCCTCTTCAGCCCTCCAAGTTCTAAACAATAATGCAAAAGAGCATTCACTTACTGCGAGCATCCCACAAGCGAACAGTCTTATCACCAGATGCAGTTGCTATGAGATCAGAATGTTTAGGGTCCCAACATAATTGATCCACACTATCGGTGTGACCCTTCAATTCAATATCTTTAGCCTTACCCTGCACCAGAAAATAGCAAATAACCATAACAACTTCACCATTAGCAACAGAGCGTTATTAAATTCTAACATCCAAGGTGTCAAAACCAGTAAAGAAAACTGCTCTGCATTAGTGTTCTGATAAATAGCCACCCGGCAAAGGGAAAAAAGAGAAAAAAACGTTGACCAATGCAAAGCTAAGAGCTTTCATTCAGAAGATTAGAAAAAGAACGTCTTTACATGACCGTGAGACTCAATATGCCAAACCCTAGCCGTTTGATCGACAGAACCGGAAGCAAGCTTGGTGCCCGTGCAATTCCAGGCCACCGAATGCACCTTTCAATGGGGAAACCGAAAACAAATCAATTCACTATAATCAAACGATAAGAGAAACAATGAAATCAAAGATTGAAACAGGAGAGGTCAAAGAAACAAAAAGAGACAGTTACCTTCTTTTTATGACCTTGATACTCTCTGCTACTGAGATTCTTGAAGGGAATCTTCTCCTCCATCTCCCGTCCTCTATGCGACTCTGGCTCTGGGGTTTTAGCAAAGGAATATAGGCTTTAAAATTTCCCATTTCCTATTGTTTTTAACCATTATTATAACAATACTTTCAATAATACACTATTCCTTTAATTTTTTATCATAGGTACCAGCCTAACAATTAGCTTTAAAAACAAACATTTCGTTCTTAATATGTAAAAGCTGTTAATATTTAAATAGAAAATATCTAAAATCTCAATTTTTTCATTATTTTCCTTTTTTTTTATGTTAGTCCGTGACATCCCTTGCGCCGATAGATTACCCCATAATTGAATCTAACCATGAAATGTTAAATCTCCTTCAACCCTAAGTAGAAAACTTTTAAATCAAAAATTATAATTTATATAGTAATAAATTTTAAAATTATTAATTGATAAAATTATCTTAAAAATATTATCATGTTATTAAATTAATAAAAATGACTGTTGATTAACAATAGAATTTATGTGTCCAATGAAATATTTTTTAAAAATAAAATATTTATTTTAAAAACTAATTGACTCACATGTAATTATAATCAAAGATTGAAAAATTAATATATTTTATCTTTTTTTTAATACATAAAGTAAAATACACCTTTAAGTTTTATAATTTTACAAAAATCTATTTATATTCAAAAATAACAATTCGTCTCATGTAAACAGTATTAACATGCAAATAGTTTATCATTTTTTACTATTTTTCTTTCTCTTAAGTTGGTTGACAATATTCATTTACACTAGCCAACTACCTTGTAATTAGGGGAGAACAGCGGTCGGTTGGAACCGTCCAACCGACCGCAACCGTCGGTTATTGTAACCGACGGTTGTTTTTGCAACCGTCAGTTGTCGATCGGCCTCGTCGACTGATCGGCTCGTCGTCGGGGGGAAAGAATTCCCCCGAACCGATCGAAAAAACCAAGCCCCCCGGCTACCCCGCCCGGCTACCCATGGCCCGCCCCTTACTATTTCCCCTGGCCGGCCAGCCCCCCCTCCCAAGCTCCCAGACCCCCCCCCCCCGACTCCTGATTGTTGTGTTGATTTGAATGATTTCCCCTGGCCGCCGGCCCCCCTCCAAGCTCCCAGCCCCCCCCTCCGACGGACCGCGACTTGATTTCCCCCGGCTCCTCCCTCCACTCCTACCGATTCCCCCCGGCCCCTTCCCCCACGAGTCCCGTTCCCCCCTGCCCCCTCCCACGAGTCGGATTCCCCCTGCAGGCCTGGGCCTGCCCCCCTCCCAGTCATAAAAAACCGACCCGAAACCGACATTCAAAAAAACCGAGACCGAAATCGATTTTATACTATGACGGTTCGGTCGGTTATATCTCAAAAATTTTTAGTCGGTTTTTCATCAAAACCGACCGAAAACCGACCGAACCGACCAATGCTCACCCCTACTTGTAATCGGAGTTGGTCATGAAATACCAGATCCAAGTAAGTCTTTTTAAAGGAGCACCAGTTTCACACTCCTTAATGGAGCATTATCTAGCTGGATCTAGTGCTTTCTAACTAAATTTGACGATAGAGCGGCTGATTGACAAGAAGTAAGGTAAAGAGGATTTTTTTTTTAAAATAAGAGGGAAAAATTTTAGTTAATATATTGTAGTAATTTTTAAAATTAATGAAAAGTAAAATTATTTAAGAAATATTATCATGTCATCAAATTAATGAAAACATTAACAATTGACTAATTACTAAACTTATATGTCCAACGAAGATATTCTTTGAAGCAGATTGTTCATTTCGAATATCAATAGATCTATATGGAAATATGGTTAAATTTGAAGAGATTAAGGTATTTTATCTTATTATATATTTATATAATGCATACTTAAATAAATATATATACTCTTTTGGTAAAATTTTGATTTTGATATTGTTTATCTTAAAATTTTTTTAAAAAATTATAATATAAATGTTTAGTGCATTTTAATATGAAAAGTAAATTTATAGTATAGAAAAAATATGAAAATTTGGTATTTAAAAAGGAAAATAACTTTATTTCAAAACATGTTGAGAAAAAAATGAAAGAAGGAATATATGTATATGAAATCATTCAAGCATTAGGTATCTTAAAATGGAGAAAGAACTTCTTTGCGGGATATTCTTAAAAGGAAAAATGGACAAAAAAAATAAAGGAATATTTATACATGTAGATATAATTGTTCAAGCATATTTAAAAAATGGAGAAAGAACTTCATTTCGGGCATTTTGAAAAAGAAAAAAAAGACAAAAAAAGGTACGAATATATGTTTATATAATTATTTAAGCATTAGGTACCTAA